GGAAGGGTCCACTTTGTTGTTGACCACCAATCTATTTTCAAGTCCTAGAACGGGATGGGGGGGGGTTGGCAAACAGTAGACCCTCAATAACTATTTGTTAAAGGAATGAGTGCTAACTTAATTGGTAATCTTATTGGAAACACAGAAAAAGAAAAAATGAACAAGACTTGGCTGTGAAACTAGTATAAAAGCAAGAAAAGAGGGGAACTCCTTAAAACTAGGGGAAAGATTGCTGTACTAACACTGAAATAACCAAGACTGCTCTCTAGTCTTTGTGGTTCTAACCAAAAGTCATACAGAATCATAAAAACTTGCAGGTCTAGCACCCAGGATGGGGGGCGGGGGGCGCTTGTACTTTTCTTCACGAAAGAAAGCAACTTCCAGCCCAGGGAACTGGAGCTGTGTAGGAAACTCTAGATTTCATGGCAGTGGAACAAGACGGCCTTAGAGGTCTCTGATGTTTCCAGAAATACTCTGAAATGGTATAGAAGGCTACTGGAGAAGAGGACTCCACTGGTAGGCATGGTTTAGCAGTTGACAAAAGCCAGATAGCAACAAGTGAGAGAGGAGATGGTTAGTCATTAAAAAGTCCTTGAGTTCATAGTTAAAGAATCCTTGAATTCATAGTTTATAGTTTTAAAATTTCATTAAAAAATTCAATCTGCCCTGGCCGATTTGGCTCAGCCGTTAGAGCGTTGGCCTGCAGTCCAGAGAGACCCGGGTTCGGTTCCCGCTAAGGGCACGTACCTCGGTTGCAGTTTGTCCCTGGCCCTGATTGGGTCGCGTGGGTGGCAATCACTCGATGTGTCCCTTTCATATCGATGTTTCTCTCTCTCTCTCCCTCCCACTCTATCTGAACAAAATATTGAAAAATGTCCTCGGGTGAGGATTTAAAATATAAAAAATAAAAAATTCAGTCTAAAGGATATACTGACAAATATGCAAATCACCTTGTGCTGTGAGTTGAATTCAAAGTCCAAGCTAATAATCACATTTTTAAAAATTTGCAATAACTACAGATCTCTCTCAGCTCCTGGGTTGAATTGCCTCTACATGCTTCATTTTGTAAATGGTTGTGTTATATATTTATCATGAAAAAAGCATCATTGTATGTATAAATATAAGGTAGATTATTACAACCCATTTGGGCAGACAACAGTTAATTAAATCTATGTATATGCCATGGTGACAGTCCAAAATAATTAGTCTAAACTTATAATGATGACCATAACCAAAATCAGAATATTTGTGAATGTTGATTTTATAATTATCAGTAGAAAGAATGACATTTCCTCCAAGAAATAGTGAGAAAATACATTCAGAGGTCTACTTTAGCCTAATTTTTTTAAAAATCCTGACTCCTGGGGTGATTTTGAGTATATACTGGTAGAGTGATGAACTACTACTTATATGTGAATATATATAAGGTGATTCAACTGAAGAGCTTACGAGCTCCTATCGTTAATATACCTTTTTTGACTTGAAGTCTTCCTGTTTCCTCAGTGTCTGTGACATCTCCAGTGAAATAACATACATGAGCTTTCTATTGGACTCTTTCTATTGTCTTTCCCCTCCCTAAGCCCACATTTATAGAGCTCCCATTAGTCTCATTGAAGCCAGCAGCAAATGCTCCCCCCAGCTGTGATGATCTGTCTGATCCTGTCAATAGCAAGCTTTTCCATTTACTTATCAGCAGAGAAATAGGCTCGTGGTTCTTTTTGAATCACAATTTGGAACTTTCATACATTGAACTTAGCAACATCTCCTTCGATAGTCACTAAATTAAAGTACTGGCCTTCGTGTTTATTGAGGTAAAAAGAGATCTTGACTGTTTCTTTGGCTATATCCTAGCCCAAGAAATAATTAGCTGGGGCCAGGGCAACAGCTTGAAGGGACAGATATTTCGTCTTTCACAAATGGAGGATAATTGTCCAGCTTAATCACTGCTATTCATGAACATCCTTTCATGTTTCATTGTACATTTTTGTTTCATCAAGCATACTTTTAATTTTCAAAATTGAGGGCTATTTTTTTTTTTTTCTTAAAATCTTTGAAGGGAAAACATATCCCATTGGCTCTTCCTCATGGCAAACCTAAGATAAAGCCAATGTAACTTACTAACACCAACCCTGTACTAACAAGCATTCCAGTATCATACTCAAAATAAAAATGATTAGGATTTCTTTAGTCTTCAAATGCTGCATTTATATTGATTGTTTTTTAAGTAAAATTTGAAAAGCTATAGTCTGTGGCATGGGATTTGGTGTAGAAGGAGACAAAAACATTTGCCTCTAACATGTTTCTCAAATTTATCAAACAAACTTTTCAAACTTTTCTTATGAATATTGGTCCTAAGGTCCTGAATAGGACATCAATTACTCTAAATAACATACCCAGTGTCTCAAATGACAAAATTGAGAATGACTGTATGATGATGCAGATGCCCATGCAGGATGTCCCTGGCCCGGAGGAGATGGGGTCTAATCAAGATCTTGCAAGGAGAAGCCACATACTGATGGAGAGCAGATAAACCACCTGAGACACTGAGGAAAATAGCATATCCCTCTCTCTCAGAGATCAGTATAGGTATGGGTTTCTATCTGCTATATACACTCATTAGGGTTCAAGAAAATGTGTCTTGCTGTGCTTAATAGGTCTTTTCTGATGCCATCAGCAATAGACCTAGGGATCAGAGATACAACTATTTCATTAGTAGAGATGAGTTATTTGTTCCTCTCCTATGAATCACCTGGCTGGATAAATTGAAATAAAATGATTACACCCAAATTCTTAAAATGAATGTTTATTTGGTGGGTGAGAGAGGGTAGTTAACAAGAAATCAGTGATAATATTTGTCTTTCCCCAACACTTTGCTCACAGGTTAGGATATGGCCGTGTCAGTCTTTCTTCTCCATATTGTATGGGACTAGCAATGCTTGTGTTGGGAGTAGTACTTCTTGGACTGTGGATTGGCTGCTGTTGAGTTCCCCACAAAGGCTCTTGTTATGGAGAAAGTGGAAGTGCAGATCTTTGTCTTACCTGCCATTCAAACATGCAGATTACAGTACATCAATTGCAATAACCCCAGCCTATGGCTTGGTCTTCCTTTACTAGTCCATTGTTGTGCTTCTTTGTCAAAACTAGGGCCCTGTTCCTTGGAGTTCCATGTTCCTAAGATGGACTTGGTTACACATTTACTCCTTTACCCCTAAAGTCCACTTATCAGAAACAAGGGTTACCCATAAATTGGCTCAATTACTTTAGGTTGCTTACTAAAGAAAAGTTTAGTAACACTAAAAACTAAATAATATTTTTGGTCATCTATAAAGAGAATGAGATTATCAGATTATCTTAAGTTATTTACATGAAAGAATATCCAACAAACTCAATATCTGAATCAAAATGTATTCAGCTTTATTTGTATATTACCTTGTACCAAGGCAAGATAATTACAATGATATCAATTACAATGACAATCTTTTAAAATACTAAATTAGTGTCCAAAATAATATATGTACACTTTATTTTATAAAATGTTAATTACTTAGTAAAATAAACATTATATTTTAATCATTAAATCTATTATCAATATCATTCTTGTTACTGATACACAGAATTACCACATAGCCTAGACATGCTTACAGTTTAGTTTATTACATATGGTGTAGAAAGACCGGAAAAATGTAAATTCTAACATCATTCTCAGCTCCAAGGAACAGCCCTAGAGCAGTGCCCTTGCCTATGGCTCCATTAGTATTAATTTAAAACCTATGTATTTGTCATCATTTCATTGCAGCGTTTTCTTTGTTTAACACAATTTGAAGAACACATCAAAGGTAAACCATGTAAGAGAATTCTTCATTTTTTAAAGAATTGCATTATCTATACATGTATAGCATGTACAGTATTTGTACAATATTATAATCTATGCCATCATATTTAAAATTTTAAAGTATACTTTCCCATCCTTAAACTTGTTTACAATGTGTAGCTACTTTATCTGAATGTAGATCATTAGTAAAAACAGCACTATATATAGTTATGCACGTCCAAAATCTATACTATGGTATTGTTATAAATTTTGCTTTCCATGCCTTCTCTATTGACCTGTTTCTGTTTGTTTCTCAAAAACTCTAGAGATCAGATTATAACAAAATGTATGTGTACAGACACAAACATAATCATTCTCAAAATATAATTGTGATATTTTTATAATAAAAATATGAGTGGGGTTTTGAATTAAGGTATAATTCTCCTATATATTTTAAGTCTATTATATAACATGGTAGAAATATCAAATTCTGCCACTCTGAAAATGTATATTTCATATCCTAGAATTTACCAACATTAATAAACAGATACATCAAAAATATTTATGATTGGGAGTTTCAGATTAAGATTAACATTATAAGCATGTGTTTCAAATTTCTATTAAATATTATTTTATTTTGCACTATAAATATTATTCTTATTCTTAAACATCTCATTCCCTTATTATTAATAAGACCTTTAATGCAATGCTTTTTCATTCAATAAAAATATCTTTAAGCTATGAGGTCACATTTTTCCCTTCTATGACTTTAGTTGCTCAATTAGCATTTTTATCAACATTTTACAGATCTTGTACCTGGTCAAGTTTGTAATTCATCTCAATTTCTAAAGAACAACATGCCTCTTCCCTCACATATGAGTTCCAGTTACATACATCTCTTGCATATAAAATTAAATAATTTAGATTCTCTTTGAAAAAACATTTGAGATTTTTAAATATTGGAAACCAATGTTTTAAACAAAAATTATTACTTTCAAAATTATATTGGCTGACCGTGTGTGAATGATCATCAAAAGCAACCTGTTCTAGGGGACATTTCAATTATACTTGAACCCAGTAGGAAAAAACAACAACTGCAGGAGTGAAAATCAATCTTCAGAGTCTCCTCATTGTTATTATCTTGAAAAGACTCTAGAAAGTCTGTCTGTAAAGTAACAGATTTTCTCTTTTAGTTTTCAGAATGCCAGAGGACCTTCAAGGCTGTCTGTCTTAGCTTGCTGTTTCCCCGAATCAAAAGAAGTGAGTGGACTGAGGGAAAGATATAGATCGCTAACATGGCATATTTTGAAAACGTGTTCATTGGAAATATAAGAAAAATCCAATATGACATTTCTGTGGAAAAAAAATTAGCTATGAAAAGAAAGAAGAAAGACATTATCATTTTTATGGCCCTTTTATGGGCCTCTGTGCTAGAATCCCTTGAGCCCATAGAGTTGAGTTGCAAGTTTCTGATATGTCTTACCAAAGACAGAAATAAAAGAAACAATGAGGCCAGAGACAGAACAATAGGAAACAAACAGGTCAAGCTAAGAAAAAGCATAATTTCAAGACAGAGAGTTCTACTTTCATCTGTATATAAAGTCAGATTACTTTTATTCGTCACATAGACATTCAAGAAGAGATCAGTAAATTCTTCTAGCAATACAAAGTCAGAAATCAGAAAGAACAAAGAAAATCCAAGAATCACAAGAACCACTTTGTTTATTCTCCACTTCAGCCAGAAAAAAAGAGAGTGAGAGAAGTGAGCTATCTTAAGGAGGTAGAAAATGCTTAGGCAGGTAGCAAGCCAGGTAGTCCAGTGATTAGTTATTCTCCAAAGGAATGAAACAGGTTTTACTAGTTTATAAGTGGAAATGAAATGTGATGGTATTACCACTGTAACTGATTCAAAAAATAATACCAACAACTGAGTAACTCTGGAGATAGCCAAGCAAGTGAAGAGGATGTCAGATAAAGAGATGTGTTGGTTCTTGAGCCATCCAGAGCAGTTTACCAGTACGATGAACATATTCCCCAACATTCCAGTTGTGAATCCTGCTATTGACAGTAGCAGAAAGATTATATCCAATCCAGTGAGCATTTCCACAGGGAAAAAAATTCAAATTTTTAATACTCTATCTCAGTGATAAATTCATAGTCAAACTGTTGCAGAATAGCATCCACTTCTGATATTTATCTTCATTGCTTTTGTTTGCAGTTCCAGTCTTAAGTAGAACCTTCTGCTGTTGGATAGAGTCTCATAGATACTTAAGGAAATCTTCCTGCTTTTGTAATTTTGATCTTAATCCAGAAAAATCTGCTAAAATATACACTGCCACATACTTTCATGAAAATGATTTTATTTCTTTGAAAGAGCTACTAATTTTCAAACCAAACAGTCTGTGTGTCCATTTATCATTGGCACAAATGGAAATTTTCCACTCATGGTAATGATTAAAAGGTTAAAGTCAAATATGTTAGCATGCAAATGTTGGTCAGATTCTTTTTCACCTATTTGTACTCCTCACATGAGATACTGTGCCATTTGGATCTAAATATTTTACTTGTTTATCAAAGAAACCTCTACAGATAATTAAATAATTTAGTTATTATTCAATAAATATATTTTGTGAGTACCTGTTATGCATCAGACATTTTTATAAATGTAATATAGGTTACTACAAAAAAGAGCAAGCTTTAGGAAATCCATAGAATAGTGAAAACGCAGAAAGAAACAATGACATAAAACGTCACCATAGCAAAAGTTAAAAGCATTTCCCTTAAGAATTGGAACAAGGCAAGGATGCCCACTTTCACCACTCTTATTTAATGTAGTATTGGAAGTCTTAGCCACACAAATCAGAAAGGAGGAAAAAATAAAAGGGATCCAAATGGGAAAGGAGGAAGTGAAACTGTCATTATTCACAGATGACATGATACTATATGTAGAAAACCCCAAAGACTCCATCAAAAGCTTACTAGACTTAATAAATGAATTTGGCAAAGTAGCAGCATACAAAATTAACGTCAAGAAATCGATAGCATTTTTATATACCAATGATGAACTCACAGAAAGAGAAACTAGAAACACAATCCCATTTACCATTGCAGCAAAAATATTAAGATACCTAGGAATAAACTTAACCAAAGAAATAAAGGACCTATTCACAGAAAACTATAGGTCATTGGAAAAAGAAATAGAGGAAGATATAAAAAAGTGGAAGCACATATCTTGTTCATGGATTGGAAGAATCAACATCATTAAAATGTCCATACTACCCAAAGCAATCTATAGATTCAAAATACCAGCAACATACTTCACAGAACTAGAACAAATACTTCAAAAGTTCATATGAAACCAAAAAAGACCTTGAATGGCCACAGCAATTTTGAAAAAGAGGAACAAGTTTGAGGGATCACATTACCAGATTTCAGGTTATACTACAAAGCCACTGTAATCAAAACAGCCTGGTATTGGCACAAGAACAGACATATAAACCAGTGGAACAGAACAGAGAACCCAGAAATGGACCCAAGGCAATATGTTCAATTAATATTTGACAAAGGTGGCAAGAGCATACAGTGGAGTAAAGACAGCCTCTTTAATAAATGGTGTTGGGAAAATTGGACAGCTACATGCAAAAAATGAAACTAGACCATCAACATACCCCATACACAAGAATAAACTCAAAATTGATAAAAGACTTTAATGTGACTCATGAATCCATAAAAATCCTAGAAGAAAATGTAGGCAACAAAATTTCAGACATCATACGCAGTAGAATTTTCACTGATACATCACATAAGGCAACAGAAACAAAGGAGAAAATGAACACATCAAACCCAAATTTGATGGGACTACATCAAACTCAAAAGCTTCTGCACAGCAAAAGATTGAATCATCAAAATGGAAAGGCAACCCACTGTATGGGAGAGCATAATTGCCAATGATATATCAGATAAGAGGTTAATTTCCAATATATAGAGAGTGTTCATAAAACTCAACAAAAGGAAGACAAAAAACCTAATTAAAAAATGGGCAGAGGAGCTGAATAGACACCACTCCAAACAGGACATACAAATGGCTAAGAGGCATATGAAGAAATGTTCAACACCACTAATCATCAGAGAGATGCAAATTAAAACAACAATGAGGTATCACCTCACACCTGTCAGAACGGCCACCATCAACAAATCATCAAACAACAAGTGTTGGCAAGGGTGTGGAGAAAAGGGGACTCTAGTACACTGCTGGTGGGAATGCAGAATGGTGCAGCCACTATGGAAAACAATATGGTGTTACCTCAAAAAATTAAAAATTAAACTTTCATTTGACCCAGTGATCTCACTTCTAGGAATACACCCTAAGAAGCCTGAAACACTAATCAGAAAGAATATATATACCCCCATGTTTGTAGCAGCACTATTTACAATAGCTAAGATCTGGAAACAGCCCAAATGTCCATCAGTAGACAAATAGATAAAAAAAGCTGTGGTACATATACACAATGGAGTACTATTCAGCTATAAGAAAGAAAGATCTCTTATCCTTTGAGACGACATGGAGGGACCTGGAAAGTGTCATCCTAAGCGAAACAAGCCAAACAGAGAAAGACAAGTATCATATGATCTCCCTTATTTGTGGAATATAATGAACATAACAGTCTGAGGAATGGGGTAGTCCCAGAGACATGGAAGTGGGGTACAGACTGTCAATCCCTAAGAGAGAGGGTGGTGGGGGAGAGATTAACCACAAATTTATATGCATGTATGCATGAACAATGAACATGGACAACAAAGCTGGGGACAGGGCGGTGAGGGTGGGGGAGGGGAAATCAGTGGGGGGGAACATCTGTAACAAAAGTTAATTAACTAATTAATTAATTAAAATTTTAAAAAGTCACCACAGAAAAGGTAACTACAAACCTTACTGTCAGGGAGAGAAAGGGAGGTGATATTCACCTTGGATTTTGAAGGTATTTAGAATTTTATGAGGAAACTGGCACGTCATATTTTGGACTGATCAAATAATATAGAAAAACACACCAAAACCCGAACTACTTTTCTGAAATTAAAGTCTTCTAACTGATAACTAAATTACCTCCGGTATCTCAGAGTAACATCTTTCCAATTAAGCTTGTTCCCAGGTTTTGCTCTTTACCTTTGTACTTGTTCTGTTTGTTTTGGCCAGAGGTGTAATACTGTCACGTTAGCCTTAATAGAGAACAGGTAGAAAATTATTTCAGATAAAATCAGAAAATAGTAAACAGAAGTATCTGTTCTACAGAAGTATCATTTTGTCAGAATGATCTTGACAAAAGCCATGAGTACACGGACATGAACTCAGAGTTACAGACTTTGTGCCTGGGCTTGTCAGCAAACAAACTTCTACTGCTAGTATTGTGTTCAAGGGTGGCCAAACAGTGTCCAAAAACAGTGAATGAAATCATCAAAAAATTGGTCCTTTTCAATATTTCTGTCACACCCCTCAATTATATTTTATTAATTAATTTTTAAAGTATATATTTCAAGAACAATTAGGTATAATGAACTATTGGTAAATTATTTTGTATAATCAAACAATATTTTAATTTAGGACAAATATTTGAAATTATAGGAAGAAAATAAATAGGGAAGGAAGGAAGAAACATTTCAGAGACAGGCTGAATGAAATTTTAAAACTGTGGTAGCATTTTTGAGAGGAAAATGACAGCTTTGACTAGAGATGGCAAGAAATTCATGGCAATGAGAAGCATTTAGAAGGTAAATTCAGGAAGGCTAGATTATGAATTGGAGGGCTATGAAAAAAGAAAAAAAGCCAGCAATGACATTCATGCTTCTTTTTTTTTTAATCCTCACCCTAGGACATTTTTGCATTTATCCTCAGAGCAGGAGGGAGAGAGAAAGAAACATCGATGTGAAAGAGACACCTCGACTGGTTGCCACCCACACAACCGCAACAGGGGCCGGGGACAAACTGCCACCAAGGTACCTGCCCCCAGCGGGAACCGAACCTGGGACTCTCTGGTTCACAGGTGGACACTCTAACCGCTGAGCCAGCCAGGGCTAACGCTTATTTTACACCTGGATGCATGGAGTACTGTAGTCTGAGGGACTCACCAGAGAGAAAGCAGGTTTAGAAGCCAAAAGGTAGGAGAAAGAAGAATAGTTGTATGATGATCAGTTCTGTTTTGAACATTTTGGTGTATATGTAAATCATTCAAGTGAAAAGATGAATTAGGCATTGGGTATTTGTTATTAAACCTCAGAAAAGGAATGTGAACTTCAAGCAAAGATTTTGTGGTCATTAGCACATACTTGATTTCATAAAAAGTAATGAGCTCTAAGGGCCCGGAGGAACATCAGTGGATGAAGAAACCCAAGAAAAACACTAAAAAGTAGTCAGATGGAGGATGGCAACCAAAAGACAAGGGTTTCGAAGCAACCAACAGCAAGGAGTGATACAAAGAGAGAGTAATAAATACTTCCTGATATTAATTAAAGAGCATTCAGCCCAGCTGATGTGGCTCAGCGGTTGAGCACTCACCCATGTGCCAGGAGGTTGCCAGTTGGATTCCCAGTCAGGGCACATGCCGAGGTTGTGGGCTAACTCCCTAGTGGGGAGCATGTAGGAAGTGGCCAATCGATGTTCTCTCTCATCAATGTTTCTCTCTCTCTCTCTTTCTCTCTTTAAAATCAATAAAGAAAACAATTTTTCTTTTAAAAAAGAGCACTCACCAAGAGGTACTAAGGAGGCCCTTCATTAACATAGCAGGAACAGGCTAACTGAATAGAAGCCAAACTGCCATAGATTACGTAGTCAATAAGATCCCAGTGATGATGCATTAGAAAACCTATTAATGTAATAACACATTAACAGATTAAAGGAAAAACACTAGGGGAAAAGAAGTTTGATACAATTCTACATCTATTCATAGTAAATGTTCTTACCAAACTTAGAATAGAATGAAATATTCTTTTTTCCTGATGAAAAGTTGTCTACAAAAACCTAGAGCAAATATTATACCTACCTATGATACATTGATATTATTCCCCTTCAGTTTGGGAAAAATAAGCCATAAACATCATAGGATGTCTATT